ATTCCATTCCATTCCTATTCTATTCTTTATTCCAATTCTATTCTATTCTACATTCCATTCCATTCCATTCTATTCTATTCTGCTTCTATTCTATTCTGTTCTGCATTCTATTCTATTCTGCTTCTATTCTATTCTGTTCTGCATTCTATTCTATTCTATTCTATTCTATTCTGCATTCTATTCTAGTCTATTTTGCTTCTATTCTATTCTATTCTATTCTATTCTGCATTCTATTCTATTCTAATTCTAATTCTATTCTGCTATTCTATTATATTCTATTCTGCTTCTATTCTGCTTCTATTCTATTCTATTCTATTCTGCATTCTACTCTATTCGATTCTGCTTTTATTCTATTCTATTCTGCAGTCTACTCTACTCTACTCTGTTCTGATTCTATTCTATTCTATTCTATTCTAAAGGTATGAAATGGGGCCTTGAGAGATTAGGACAGGATTCAGGGAAGGGATCTTCCAGAGTTTCTTTGAGACCCCTCCCCACTCTGAAGTTGGACTCACACAACTGGTTCAACTGGGCCAAGGAAGGACCTCACAGATGCATTCCCATGGCCCGTTGAGTCTTCAACTCAGTTAGATGTTTTGGAAGGTTGTGTGGACGGCGCTCACTTGGTTGGTGGGTGGGTTTTCAAGACGCCGCGTGGAAAGGAGCTGATTGGATAAGCCTGTCTCTGTTTGCATTGTGTCAGACTCACCCAACGGCTAAGAAGAGCACCAAGGTGACGATCAAGGCACAGAAGGACACGCCACAGCCAACAAACGTCAGGGTCTTCAGGATGGACTCCTCCTCGAGGCTCCTCTGCGAGAAACAGAGACAACCTGGTGAAGGTAAGGAAGGGGTGAGGTGGCCATCCTCAACAGCTTTCTTGCAATGGGGCAGTTCAACTTCTTGGGCCTCCAGGTTTTTGCATCAGGGGGGTGGGAAGGCAAGAGATCTGGAAAAGGGAGCAAGGCGGATTCTGCTCCAACCAATGGCTTCTCCCCATAGTTCCACCAAAGCACCCCAAGGAGTGTCTTCCTCCATACGGAACAAAACCCTCCCAACCAGAGGTGGGATTCAGCCGATTCGGAACCGTTTCGGGCGAACGGGATGTTAATTTTAATTGGGTTCGCCGAACTGGTACTTGCAAGGACTGGCTGGCCCCGCCCACCCCTCCCAGGAGTCTCCACACGCCCTGGTTTGGATGCCGGGCAAGTGCAGGGCCCAAGCAGAGGCTATGGGAGGGTGACAAACGGGCTTCCTGGACGTTACAGGCCCGTTTGTGGCCTCTGGAGCCTGAGGGAGGCAGTTTTTGCCCTCCCAGAGGCTCAAACAAAGACTCCGGAGGCTGGAGAGAATGAAAATGCTCCCCACAAAGGTGCAGGAAGTTGAATAGGCCACACCCACCATGGCCACGCCCACCCAGCAACCAGACAGAGAACCAGTTGCTAAAATGTTTGAACCCCACCCCTGCTCCCAACCCCCTTCTAACCTGAACTTCATAGACCTGCAGCAAGACTGCAAAGTTGGTGGTATGGTTACAGGCACAGGTGGTTAGATCCTCCTGAGAAGAAGACACCGAGCAACCTCTGGTCGACCAGCCTCCAGCAACACCTTCAGGACTGAAGAGCAAGAAAACCATCTGGGCCCAGATGCTCAAGCCCTGGAGACCAAAGCCTCCCACCCCAGGGGAAGGTGCCCATGGGAAGGAGCTTAGGACAACCTCCAGAGATCTTGACCCAACTCTCCTTCCCCTTTCCTAAAAAAACCTTCCCAGGTTCAAATGCAACCCAACCAGAGGTGGTATTCAGCCGGTTCTGACCGGTTCTGCCGAACTGGAAATTTTGAGTAGTTCAGAGAACTGGCAAATACTACATCTGGCTGGCCCCGCCCCTGATCTATTTTCTATTTTGTTGTCCTGCACAGGAGAATGGAGCTGGAAAGCAGAGGAGGGAATGTGGATTTTGCAGTATCCTTCCCCCGGAATGGGGAGGGAATGGGGATTTTGCAGTATCCTTCCCTCGGAATGGGGAGAGAATGGGGATTTTGCAGTATCCTTCCCTCGGAATGGGGAGGGAATGGGAATTTTGCAGTATCCTTCCCTCGGAATGGGGAGGGAATGGGGATTTTGCAGTATCCTTCCCCTGGAATGGAGATTTTGCAGTATCCTTTCCCCAGGAGTGGGGAGGGGATGGGGATTTTGCAGTATCCTTCCCCTGGAGTGAGGAGGAAATTGAGATTTTGTAGTATTCTTCCCCCTTGAGTGGGGAGGGAATGGGGATTTTCAGTATCCTTCCCCTGCCACGCCCACCAAGCCACGCCTACCAAGCCACACCACACCCACCAAGTCGCAGCCACAGAATCGGTAGTAAAAAAAAATTGAATCCCACCACTGAACCCAACCCCTTGATTCACCGGCTGACGAATTAAGTCGTGTGTGGTGCACTTATGGGGCAGCCTGTTTAGCAAACTGCAACATTCACAGATAGTGGGTTGGATTCTGTTGGCTGCTGCTGTTGTGGGTTTCATAGGTTGTGTACACTCAAGAAGGCCTTCTACAAAAGGATGAAGCATCTTGTGGGGGGCGCAGATAAGCACTGGGTTCAGTCTGCTTGAAGAGGGAAGTTGGACCAGGAAGCCAGGTGGGAGTCAGCAGTTGGGCAATTGGGCAGGGGTGGGATTGAAAAAAATTAGCCACGGGTTCTCTGCCCGGTTACTTGGTGGGTGTGACCAAGGTGTGCATGGCTTCCTTGGCCTCCTGCACCACGTTGGGCGGGGGGTTGTTTTCCTCCTCCCCAGGCTCCAGAGGTGTTCCTTGAGCCTCCGGGAGTGTGAAAACATCCTTCCCTGGGCTCCAGAGGCCTCCCAGAGGCCGGAAATGGGCCTGTTTCCGGACTTCCGGAACTTTTGGTAGGCCCGTTTCCCCCCTCCCTGCACTTAGTTGGCATCCAAAATGGGCCACATGGAGACTCCTGGGAGTGGAGGTGCAGGGAGGGCAGGGCCAGCCAGCCCTTGGTCTTCATTAGACAGTTGCAACTTTCAAGAGCTGGTACTCTTTGAAACCAGCAAGGCTCCAACAAGGTCTACCCAATGTCACTGAATTCTTTCTTTCTTTCTTTCTTTCTTTCTTTCTTTCTTTCTTTCTTTCTTTCTTTTTCTTTCTCTCTCTCTCTCATTCCTTTCTCTTTCACTTGCTTTCTTATCCTTTCTTCCTTCCTCTCTTGTTCCTTTCTCTTCCTTTCTTACCTTTCCTTCCTTCCTTCCTTCCTTTCTTCTCTCTCTCTCTTTCTCTCTCTCTCTCATACCTTTCTCTTTCTTTCTTTCTTATCCTTCCTTTCTCTTTCTCTCTCGTTCCTTTCTCTTCCTTTCTTATCCTTCCTTCTTTCCTTCCTTCTCTCTCTCTCTCATTCCTTTCTCTTCCTTTCTTATCTTTCCTTCTTTTCTCTCTCTCTCGTTCCTTTCTCTTTCTCTTTCATTTTACCTTTCATTTTCCTTCCTTCCTTCCTTCCTTCCTTCCTTCCTTCCTTCCTTCCTTCCTTCCTTCCTTCCTTGCCTTTTCCAAAAATGCAACTGGGAGACTTCTCCAAACCCCAGCCTACCTTCTGCTGAAGTTCCAAAAAGCACAGACTGGCTCCACAAGTTGGTCTGGTAAAGCCTACAGAGAAAGAAGTCCAGAGAGGAGATAATGACTTTCTGGGAAAGGGCATAATGGAGATGATGACTGGCCAAGGTTTCCTGACCCCCCGAAAAGCTCAGTTGTGGGTTTCTTGGAAGTTCTCCTTGCGAGTCTTGGGTTCATCTTGATAAGTTGGACTGGATGGCACCAGCTGCAGATTTCCCTAAATTGCCCTGATGTTTTGTGTTATGTGGAGGAAAGGTCTTGTTTGATTTATGAAGGCAGCCAGGGTCCTTCAACCACAACCTAAGGCCCACGGCGTTCCTTCCTTGAAGTTGGGGTGACCTTTATGTTTCATTTTAAAAAATTCAAGGCGCCTCGATCTTCAGAAGCTCAAAAGCTCCAAGTATCTATGGAGCTTCTCAGTCATCCAAAGTCAGGGTTGTCCCAAAGGTGCTTTTTTCAAGAGGCAACTGGAGTTTCTGGTTGTCCTTTGAAGGCCTTTCACTTCTCATCCAAGGAGCTTCTTCAGCTCTGATCAAATGATGGTGCGGAATAGAAGGATTGATGCTCCTTGCAGACAGCTGGTCCTTTGCATCCTTTTAGAGGGTCATTGAGGCCACTTGGAGGCTTGGAGGGGAAATATTGCAGACTACAGGAACCATTTGCATCACTCAGGTGACTCTGAGGACACAGAGAAACCTCCAAGTGGCCTCAATGACCCTCTAAAAGGATGCAAAGGACCAGCTGTCTGCAAGAGCATCAATCCTTCCATTCCCCACCATCATCCAGTCGGAGCTGAGGAAGCATCACCCCGGGACCGTCTTATATAGGAGTCATTTGTCAAATGGCCTCCAAATTTTGATCACATGATTGCGGAGATGCTACGATGTGAAACAGAAGGTCCTCAGTTGCTTTTTTCCCCCATAACTGGTGTAACTTTGAACAGTCGCTAAATGAACTGTTGTAAGTCAGGGACTGTGTGTGTGGTGTGTGTGTGTGTGTAATGATGGGGAAAACAAGGAAAAGGGTGAAAGGAAAGAGGGAAAGAAAAGAGGACAGATCTTCCCATTTGGTGTCTAATTATTTTCTAAAGGGAAATCTTCCCCTCGCACACATGTGCTAGTCGTTCCCGACTCTAGGGGGCACTGCTCATCCCCATTTCAAAGCCAAAGAGCCAGTGCTGTCCGAAGACGTCTCCGTGGTCATGTGGCCGGCATGACTCAACGCTGAAGGTGCATGAAACGCTGTTCTCTTCCCACCAAAGGTGGTTCCTATTTTTCTACTTGCATTTTTTACCTGCTTTCGAACTTGGCAGAAGTTGGGACAAGTCACAGGAGCTCACTTCATTATGCAGCACTAGGGATTTGAACCGCTGAACTGCCGACCTTTCCGATCGACAAGCTCAGTGTCTTAGCCACTGAGCCACCGTGCCCCATATAGATGATGTTCTCCTGGGAGACATTCGTCCCTACTGATCCCTCAAGGAAACACAGACCTTGATGGAATAAAAGGGACCGTCCTTCGGGAACCCCCTTCCCCCTCGCCTTTCTCCTGCCTCCCCCAGCATCCTTCCTTTCCCCCCAAAGCCTCACCTGAACCCGATGCCGAAGACGGTACCGCACAGACGTGCTGATTTCCTCGTAGTTGCTGACCAAGCTAGAGGAGATGATGGAAGAGGCCACCTGGGTACTGAGATGCCTAAGGAGGAAGAGGTAAGCACAGCAGGTTTGGTGGTATGGCCCAAGCCACCTTCTGTGCCCCACAAGCAGAGGAACGGCGATCAGGAACATTCGGGGGAAACTGGGGAAAGGGCCCAACGTTTCCCATTCCATAACCCACCCCCAGGAGTTGCAACAAAGCTCCCCAGAGATGGCAGGAGCCCATTCTGTGTGTAGACCAAACTCTTGAATCCCCCATTCCATTTTTAAACACAACAGTGGCATAATTAAAAATGAGAAAGGGGGAACAGTGGAAGGTTATAATTCAATATAAATCTGGATGTTACTATTAGAATTATATAGCTTCATCAAACATAACAAATAGGTTTGTTAGTATACTGTTTCCCCCAAAATAAGACCTCCCTGGATAATAAGCCCAATCGGGGTGTTGAGCGCATGCGCTAAAATAAGCCTTCCCCGAAAATATTGCAGCCAGGAGGTGACCACGCTCACCGCCTCCTGCATCTCAAAAATAATAAGACCTCCCCGAAAATAAGGCCAAGTGCTTATTTTGGGGGTCAAAAGAAAATAAGACCCCATCTTATTTTCCAGGAAACATGGTAGTCTCTCTGTAGTAAAATGAGTGATATCAAGAATATGGAAATTGGCATAAAAAAAGAATATATTGAAATATTGAATAATTACGGAAAGATTATAATTCAACAAAATATGCGTATTACTGCTAAAAGTCTGTAAGTTGTAATTGTGTTAAATGTGAAGAGAATCATTTTATTTGTACTAAAATGTAACTGCTTCCACACTGTTTGCACAAGATGTGTTTGTAGAAAAATAAAAATAAAACTTTAAAAAAAAATCAGCCATTCCATTTTTAAATACAAATGATAAAAATTAGAAAGGGGGAACAGTGGAAGAGTATAATTCATTGTAAATCTGTGTATTACTATTAGAATTAAATAAGTTTGCCAAACGTAACAAATAGGATTGTTGGTATTCCATCTGTAGTAAAAGGAGAGATATGAAGAATATGGAGATTGGCATTAAAAAAAACAATATATTGAAATATTGAATAATTAAGGAAAGATTATAATTCAACTAAATGTGTGTATTACTGCTACTAAAAGTCTGTAAGATTGTGAATTGTGTTAAATATGAATGCAGTGTTAAATATGTTTTATTTGTACTAAAATGTAACTGGTTCCACACTTCGCACAACGATGGGTTTGTAGAAAAATAAAAAAATAAACAACTTTTTAAAAAAAATCATCATTCCGTTTTCTAAACCAAGGAAGGAATAACAGAGTATAAAGGGGCTTTGAAGGTCCTCTAGTCTAACCGCCGGCTCAAGCAGGAGAGCCTAAATCAGGGGTGCCAAACTCGATTTCATTGAGGGCCACATCAGTGTTGTGCTTGATCTTGGGGGGCCAGGGTGGGCGTGGCCAGCTCAACTTGTGTCGGGGGAGGGGCACCTGTGGCAGCCCGAGCTCTCTGCTTAGCAAAAATGAAGCACCCACAACTTCTGGTGGCAAGGAGTTCCACTGTTTAATTGACCTCGCTGTTAGGAAGTTTCTCCTGGTTGCTTCTCTCCTTGATTAATTTCAATCCATTGTTTCTTGCCTCCTGGTGCTTTGGAAAATAAGTTGACTCCCCTCCGTTTTGTGGCAGCCCCTCAAATTCTGGAAGGCTGCCATCATGTCCCCCCCTAGTCCTTCTTTTCTCTAGACTGGCCATCGCCAAATCCTGCAACCGCCCTTCGTATGCTTTTGTCTCCAGGCCCCCAATCGCCTTAGTTCCTCTTCTTTGCAATTAAGACAATTAAAGGCCCGGAGACTAAACAGTAAAACTATAAGCAAACTGAACAGGTAAATCAGATTGGGGAAGTCCATTCGATTCACCCTTAGGTGGAATCAAATCTTCCAGTGAAAGTTGGAGTCATTCACAAAACTTGTGCTTCTTTGCTCTTTTTCCCAGCAATTTTTTTTTGGGTAGGGGGAAGGCAAGAAAGAGAGAGAGAGAGAAACTCACACAGAGAAAGAAAGAGAGAGAGAGAAACAGAGGGGGAGAGAGAAATAGAGAGAGAAAGTTAAACAGAGAAAGAACGAAACAGAGAAAGAAACAGAGAGAGAAACAGAGAGAGAGAGAAACACACACAGAGAAAGAAAGAGAGAGAGAGAAACAGAGGGGGAGAGAGAAATAGAGAGAGAAAGTTAAACAGAGAAAGAACGAAACAGAGAAAGAAACAGAGAGAGAAACAGAGAGAGAGAGAAACACACAGAAACACACACACAGAAACACAGAGA